GGCCAAGCTCACTTGCCCAACTTTTTTTTTTTTTTAATGTGCAGACAATCTATATAAAAGAAAAATATTTAAAATGTTGCTTGTCAACCTAGTTTTTATCCACCAGAGCGGTGGTTAGAAAGTAATTGAGTGTTTTTGGTTTATAAAAAAAATTCAAACTTTTTCCGTTTACAAAAACATTAGAATCTCCAAAAAATTATTTTTTCAAATAAAAATCTTTTAAATTAATTTAAAAAACACAAAATCAAATTACAAAAAATATATTTTCTCAACTCTAATATATTTTTTTTTCTAGCAATATAAATGTTAAGAAATATACCTCGGTGAAACTCCTGAAATATATTTATACTAAAATCAATTTTTTTGGCCTCCCAAGAACTTTGTTTCTCTCTTTTTATATATAAAAACTGAAAAATAAATAAAATAAATTTTTTAATAAAAAATAAAATTTCAATAACTAAAGGAACCATAAAAGGTTCAATGAACAAAAATAAAGTTTTCAGTGAATTCTAGAAAAGACATTTTTTTTAGTTTAATCTTTGTTTTTATAGTTGTATTTTTATTCTGTTAATTTAAATTCCATTGCATTGAATTGACCTCCAGTAAATTTCAAACATATCTTTGAAATAATTGATAGTAATACACAAATATAAGAGACAACCAGCCTAGAGAAACGCCATAAATAGAATAAAAAAAGTTTAATAATAAATCATCCTTTTTATTTTCTCCAGTAATTGTAAGTTTTATAGGTATACAATTTTCTTTATATATGTATGATGGATCGACTTCCCTGGAGACTCGTGTTGTAAGGTATACATGGAACAAAAGATTTAAGGGCGCTTATGTTGCGAAGTAATTCTATAATAAATCATATATATATATATATACATATATATAACTACTGGTTACGTTGCTTCATCTCTCGTTTGGAGTATTTCTTTTCTCTTCTTCTTTATTTTTCATCATCTAATTTCATACGTGTTTGTGATATTTTATGTATTGTTATTTTCTTCCCTCCATGTTCTTGGCTATTAAATGTTTTTTTTTTGGAATTTCTTTACAGGTCAAATTTATCAAATAAGATTTCAATTTACAGTATTTAAAATAACCACAGAAAGGTGGAGACAGATTACAAAAATAAAATAAAAAACCATAACTGGGCTTTTATCGAATTTGTGTAAAAAAATTCATTTTTATCCATAAATTCTATATTTATTCATTCGGGCCCTTTAGTTTTAAAATTTTATGGTTAAACATAAAGTTTTGACAAAAAAAAAGAAAAGAAAGCTATTTAAAAACAACGGGAAAGAAAAGGTAGTTACAGTAATTTTTTTTTTTACTGAGATATGTTATTTAGATGATTTTGAACTTTTATATCATCACAAAAAATAAATCGAGGCTCTGAATATTTTTAGTTTAATTTAATTTTAGGTTTTCTCAGTGATTTTATGGTGTTTTTGAAATTAAAATTGTTTTTTTTATCAGGGTGCTTAGAGGTTTCCAAGTTATTTTCATATAAAAAGTAGTTGAAAATGAGATTTAATGTGATTTCAAATGTTTTTTTTTTATTGAAACTTGTTTTAATATCATGATAAGTTTTTTCTGTTTTTTTTTTAAATATTTTTGATAAAAGAACCATTTTTTCACTAAGAAAGGAGAAATGTACTAACAAGAAAATATAGTTTAAATTGAAGATATATATTTTTTATTTAGTTTAAATTATTATTTTTTAAATATTTTAATTATCTTTATTTTTAATTAAAGTAAATGCCACTAATAAAAAATATTAAAAATAAAGTATTAAAAAAATAACTCATTTAATAAAATACTTTCTTTTTATCAAGAATTAATTTTTGTTGAAGTCATTATTTTAATCATAACAGAACTAAGTAATTATAGATTTTAAAAAACTATCATGCAGCTAAATAGCCAGTAAACAAGTAAATTTTGGCTTCCAGTTTTATTTTATATTTTTTTTTTAGATTTAAAAAATTACTAAATTAAATTAAATTAAATTTAGTTTAATTTAATTAATTAAACAATTTAAATATAATTTTTTTCATCATTATTTTAAATTATAATGATATTAAAAATTATTATTAGTATTTTTGTTAATAATAATATTAATTTTAAAATTGAATTTATATTCATATTTTGAAGTTTAAACTTTGTAAGAATTTGAGCAAAATAAAGAATATTTTAGATTTTATTAACTTAATTTTATATTTAAAATATTTGTATTAAAATATTTTATTTTTTTAATATTTTAATATTTTATTTAAGTTGAATTATTTTAAATTAAATATTTTAATTATTTATAAATATTTTAAATTTTTAAATTATATTTTTTTGGAATTGTATAATTTATAATTAATTTATTTTGTATTTAAATTATATTTGTAATGTTTACACACACACACAACTGAAAAAAAATAAAAGCACCTATCAAAATGGAATTTGCAACGGAATTTACAACTTGATCTGAACACAAGAAGAAAGGTAAAAATCACTCTCGATGCTCCGCAGCTGGCAAACTCATCTAAACTCCAATTCTATAAAATTCGAAACAGATCATACCCTCAATTTCCGTGTCTGCTATGGCCGATCGCACCACTACCCGAACAGTCCTCGAACCATCACTCACCTTCGACCTCACCATTCACTCTCACACTTACATAAAATCCATTGCAATTTCACCAATCTCAACGAATTCTCAATGTTTCATTTACTTAGGCACTTCATCTGGTTCCCTTCTCCTGCTTTCCATATACCCAGAAAACGCAAATGACAAAACCCCCACCAAAGACCCGAAATCGACACTGGATTTTGATGTTTCGTTTCGAGATGTTTCGCTGCTAAAATCAGTTTCTTTTGGTGACTCGCCGTTAGACACGGTTCTCTTGCTTGATGAGAGTGGAAAGGTTGCTGTTCTCTGTGATGGTTTTTTGTTTCTGACGGATTCGGGTTTGGTTCAACCCGTTAAGAAACTGGGGTTTTTGAAAGGGGTTTCTTTCATCACTAAGAGAATTAAGAGTAGTGAATTGGAGTGTAGTGATTTATTCAGTGCTAGCAGTTTGGACGGTTCAAGTGCAAGTTCTCGAATTTTGAGCAGATTAGGAGGCGGGGTTAGAGCTAATGGGGTTAAAGGTAAAGATTCTGGGCTAAAAAGTGAGGGTGATTATGTTTTTGCTGCTGTGATTGGGACAAAAATGATTTTAGTAGAGCTTAGAGTTGGTAAGAATGATAAGGAGGTTGATTTTGCGGTTTTGAAAGAAATGCAGTGTATTGATGGGGTTAAGACAATAGTGTGGATCAATGATTCCATAATTGTTGGCACGGTTAATGGGTATAGTTTGTTTTCGTGTGTTACTGGCCAAAGTGGGGTGATTTTTACAATGCCTGACGGGTCTAGTTTGGCATTGCTTAAGTTATTGCGGAAAGAAAAGAAGGCGTTGATGTTGGTGGATAATGTTGGGATTGTAGTTGATGCCCATGGGCAGCCAGCTGGAGGGAGTTTGGTATTTCGTAAGGGTCCAGATTCTGTTGGGGAGTTGGCTTCTTATGTAGTGGTAGTGAGGGACGGGAAGATGGAGTTGTATCATAAGAAATCAGGTAGTCGTGTACAGACTGTTAGTTTTGGCAGTGAAGGAGTTGGGCCATGCATTGTTGCAGACGAGGAAAGTGGGAATGGGACACTTGTTGCTGTTGCAACGCCCACCAAGGTGCGAGAAGTGGTTGCATCTTAGATTATATTATTTCACTGCACCTTTATTGATCTTTAGACATGAATATTAGTTTTATGTATGGTGCTCCTTAGGTCTCTGGGTGGTTTACTTTTAATTATACAAGCTAAATTGTGAACAGTTAGTCATTGTTCTGTGTTAAGCTGAGTTTCCGAGTGAAATATTTATCTGATCATTTGGAACTTGAGCCAGAAACTCAGAAAGTATCTTCAAAAGTAACTCCGAGGCTTTCTTTTCTTTTGAACTTTGTTGTTCTTGCATACCTGGTACATTTTTTAAATGCAAGTTGTTTAGATTTCAATCTGATCGTTAAGAGATTTATGGGATTAGTGGCACAAAATACTTGTTTAAGATTTTGTGTCCTGGTTAGGAACAACCCGTATGCTTCTGGATGCAGGTTTATTTAAGAAGATATTTGATAGATTTTTCTGCTTCATCTTCATTATTGCCAGGTTATTTGCTACCGGAGAGTACCTACTGAAGAACAAATCAAAGATTTACTGAGAAAGAAAAATTTTAAGGAAGCAATCTCCATGGTGGAGGAGCTTGAGAGCAATGGTGAGATGTCTAATGAAATGCTATCCTTTGTTCATGCTCAAGTGGGGTTCCTGCTGCTTTTTGACTTGCATTTTGAGGAAGCTGTTAATCACTTTCTACAATCCGAGACAATGCAACCTTCTGAAGTGTTTCCATTTATAATGCGAGATCCAAATCGCTGGTCACTGCTGGTATGTGCTTACTATCTCATTTTTCCAGACCCATTCCCTCGTCAGTAATTTTGTTTTGATAAGGGATGGAACATCTGCTTCCCCTTAATTCCATAAACTTCACTGGCCCCAATATTCTAAAGGATTGATCATTTATCTGTCATTTGATATTTCTTCATTTCTTTTTGCATATATGCATATTACAGATGCCAAAATCCTGATTTTCTTCTTATTCCTTTCCACCCTTGTCTATGTGAGTTGCCGCTAGCAAAAAAGAATATCGATTGTAACATGTGTATTCTAGGTAACCATGCCTCCTTCTGTAGTTCAATGAATTTGAATCAAGGAACCACATACACACAATCTATATAACAGAAGAATTAGTATTCTAAATGAAAAAAAGGATTGAAAGTGGGATCTTGAAAAGGGGTGATTGTTTGTTTGCATCTGTGTAATTATACACTTGTTGGTTAGTTTGTGATTGAGTATACCTGGTCAGGGTGGTGACCTGTGTTAAATATGTTTGGCATTGGTTGAAAGATGGAATGGGATAAAAAATGCTACTACTTGATTGTGCAGTTAAATGGATGAGCAATAGTTTCTAGAACTCTGTATATTATGTGTTTATGCCCTGTTTTATCATGTTTTTGTTGGAGGAGAGTACATTAAGTTTATATTGAAGTGCTCTGCATTTTTGTCATCATAGTGTTGAACTTATCCTTTCAGGTTCCTAGGAACCGATATTGGGGTTTGCACCCCACCCTGCTCCTCTTGAAGATGTTGTTGATGATGGGTTGATGGCTATCCAAAGAGCTATTTTCCTTAAAAAAGCAGGTGTGGATACTACAGTCAATGAAAATTTTCTCTTGAATCCACCAACTAGAGCTGATTTACTTGAGTTGGCAATAAAAAATATGAGCAGGTGGCTGCGACTTTGCTTTGAGCTGTTACATGTTATATCTTTTCCATTCTGTCATTAGCTTGTAACTTACAGTTTCTGTTCTTTTCTATTGATTCTAAAGATATCTTGAGGTTTCTCATGAAAAAGAATTGACTTCTTCAGTGAGAGAGGGAGTTGACACACTTCTGTTGTACCTCTATAGAGCCCTCAACCGTGTCAATGATATGGAAAAGCTTGCATCTTCTGGAAACAGCTGTCTTGTGGTATGTGTCACTTTCTCTTTACCGGAGTTGATTAAATAATTTTTTCCTATGAAGGTTTTACTCTTTTCCTGGTAATGGAGTTTTGAGATGATCAGATGGACCAGATGAATCAATCATTGCCATGTGCATTTACCAAATTTTAAATCAATGAAGAGAGTTGCCACTTGGCTTTTAAGGCTGGTGGTCACTCTTATGATGTGCAGTTAAGGGAGAAAAGTTTTTTTGAATCAATATTAAATTTTTTAACAAAAAGCTTTATGTTGATCTCCTTATTACAACTCAAATAGGCTTCATTTCCAAATTAGCTGGTTTGTCTTTCAATGCAAATTCAATGCTGATCTCTTTAACAAAATGTAAAGTGAAGAAAATGGCATTTGCATCTTTCCTTGGACTGTTTACTTCTTAGATGAAGTCAGGTGTAATTTGTCTCTCAAAACAGACAGTCTTATGTCTTGGTTTATCAATGTTTGTTGATTTCAAAACGTTGCACTGGGTTTGTGTTTCACCAAAGATATTTTGGAACTATACAGAACTTGTAAAAGGAGCCATCTAATGATGGCAACATTCAAACCATTCACTTGCTTTGGGTTTGAAATTCTACAATTGGTAGCTAGAGGTCAAAATTAAATAGTTTGGAGGCCAAGTCAATAGTAGCCTGTGGAATCTTAGCATTCCAATGACTTGCAAAACAGAGGGGCTGTTGTCAGGAGCTTGCTTGAAGGATGACTGTGCAACTTCCATGGGCGGTGCAGGAGGAGTTAGAAACTCTGTTAGATGAATCTGGGCATTCACGGACTCTTGCCTTCTTATATGCAAGTAAAGGGATGAGCTCAAAGGCTCTTGCCATATGGTGTATTTTGGCAAGGAATTATTCTTCTGGTCTATGGAAAGATCCTGCTATGGAGCATGAATTACCGGATGGCAATACAAATATTATCTCAGGCAGAGAGATCGCTGCAACTGAGGCATCAAAAATTCTTGAGGAGCTGTCTGATCAGGATTTGGTTTTGCAACATCTTGGTTGGGTATGTAGCATTTGAATTTGGTCTTCTTTTATTTTTACAGAATTTTGAAGCTGATAGCTAATTCACAATTTGGTGAATCCTATTAGATTGCGGATGTTAACCCAGTACTCGCAGTTCAAGTTTTGACATCAGAGAAAAGAGTAAATCAGCTTTCACCAGGTAGGCCTTGGTTTTCAGAGAATATGCTAATTATGAGTTTTGAATCTTGACTACTTGCTAATTAAGAATTTCACCTTTTTTACTCTATGGCATCTCATTGGTGAATTTACTACCATTCTGAATGTTCTCTAAGCTTTGAAAATTTATTGAATATTTACAAATTTCCAAGTCCCATTGATATAATAGGTAGCTCTTGCAGTCCAGTTAGTATGTGATGTATTGCTGGTCTTGCAAGGAGTGGGGTATATAGTAAAATGAACAGGCTTAATATCTCCAGTGGTTGATCGAAGATCAAGACTCCTGTGACGCACAATTCCACACACTGTATGCACTCTCACTTGCAAAGTCAACAGTTGAAACCTTTGAGGTGGAAAGTACCTCCCAGGATCCTGATGATGGAAGGCTAGAGGAAACAAAAATTTCTGATTTTGGAAGAAACTCAATCTTTCAAAGTCCTGTGCGAGAAAGGTTGCAGATATTCTTACAGTCATCAGACTTGTATGATCCGGAAGAGGTTCTTGACTTGATTGAGGAATCAGAGCTATGGCTGGAAAAGGTCTTTGGATCTCCTTTCTCACACTTTTTTATTCTACTTGTTTGATCATTATTAAGGGCCCCCTTTTTAATCAGTGTTTGTGTCATTTGTATCTTTCTGCTAATAGGGAAACCATGAATGGCATCAATGCTTTTATATATCAAATTGATCAAATCTTGCTAATCAGTTACTGATTTTATTTGGCAGGCTATTCTATACAGAAAATTAGGGCAAGAGACTTTGGTGCTACAAATTTTGGCCTTGTAAGCCTCAAAATCACCTTTTCACTTCTGATGGCAGGAACATTTTGCCAGCTTATTCAAATGTTAATTTATTTGGTTGGGCAAGGATCAGAGGGTGACATACATGCATTGGCTTTGAGAAAACCTCATTTTTCGGTTCACTAATAGTGGTTACATTATATACTTTCTTCACTAATCAAATATTCTTGTATAAGAAAAATGCATAATAGCTATCATGGTCCTCGTGGTTTTTGTTGGCAATTAGCCACAAATTTCAAATTCGAATTCAAGAGGCTGTTGTGATGCACTTCCCTCTCTCTTTCTTTACTTCTTGGTTGATTGTCAATGGTGTATATTTTAATGAATTCAAGGGGCTGCTGTGTTGCACATCTCTGTCTTTTCATTGCTTGGTTGATTGTTAATGGTGTATATTTTAAGTAACATATGCTCTCTCAGGAAGCTGGAGGATAGTGAAGCTGCTGAACAATATTGTGCAGAGATTGGCAGACCAGATACCTATATGCAGTTAGTTTCTTATTGTTTATCCCTTTTTGTTTATTTCCCTTCTTTCTAAACTAATGCACATAAATTTTCTTACTAATGGGTTTTTCACTCTCTGATGTGATCTCTTCAGGTTACTTGATATGTATTTGGATCCACAAAATGGTAAAGAGCCCATGTTTAATGCTGCTGTTAGACTTCTGCATAATCATGGAGAATCATTGGATCCTTTGCAAGTTCTAGAGGTAGAAAATCCACCTATCCTTGTTCCTTTCTGTCTCAGCACATGCATGCTAGTACAACTTTTACTTAATGGCTTGCTTTTGAGTTCAAGAAATTAAGTTTAAACTTTCTCAATATTCTGCAACTCTAGCAGGGAGAAAAGGGCAACATAATACTTAAGATGTTCTCATTTTCTTATATTTCTGTTATTTGCCTCCATGTGTAAGAATTCTATTAGAGGGTTCCACACTGGGAAGGCCATCATCTTAAAGGGGTACATGAGGTCCAGCTACCATTGAAAGTGATTATGGATGATATCTAGTCTGGATATATATTTGTGCAAAATAATGAAAGTGATTGTAATTTGTTGTTTTAGTGATATAGTTGCTGCTGGTTGGGTTGGCTCTCTCTAACCTGTCTTGGTATCCAAGCCTGTGTTAACTAATTACCTATTGGCTCTGCCCTATAATCATAATTAATACACTCGAGGATCTTCTGTTCTTATTCAATTCGATAGAGAGATGCTCTAACATTGATTGTTGGTACCTGTTTCCTTCTCTAGAATTCTTGGGTGGATTGTCAAGTTCTTGAATCATTTTTGCCTCTTGTTGAGAGATGATTTTGTGTTGCAGACATTGTCCCCAGACATGCCCCTCCAACTTGCCTCGGATACAATAGTAAGAATGTTGAGGGCTCGACTTCACCATCATTGCCAAGGACAAGTAAGGTTTTTACTTGAAGCTATCTGAAAGACCTATGCTAATAGCTTTTCCCAACATGACCTTTAAGGCCTATTTTACTCTCATCCTTGCATTATTGGATCTTTTAGCTTTGTTGAACTATTCCCATCTGAATTTACCTAATGCTCATACTGAACTCTTCTTTAGAACATATCTAAGAAAAAAATAAAACAATTATTTTTGCAATTGGTCCCATATTCCATTGCCTATGCCGGTCTAAACTTTTTGTAACGTTTCCAGATTGTGCATAATCTGTCCGGTGCTCTACATGTTGATGCAAAACTTGCAAGATTGGAGGAAAGATCACGAAATGTTCAGATAAATGATGAGAGTGTCTGTGATTCTTGTCATGCCTGTCTAGGAATCAAACTGTTTGCAATGTACCCTGATGACACTGTTGTCTGTTACAAGGCTGGTCATTGTTGTTTTTTTTTTTTTGGTAACAAAAACTCGATGGGGGCTGAATATAACCTGTAATCAAAATGCAATGTTTGCAGTGTTTCTGTTGTCTTGGAGAGTCCACTTCTGTCACAGGTTGTGACTTCAAGCGAGATCCTTTGTTCAAGCCAGGTTGGCTTGTTAACCGCTGATCTAGAAATGGTTTTTGCGTATTGGGATAAAAAATGGTTTTTGAGTACACGAGAGTCATATACTCTAGTGACATGATGATGCGAATGTCATCGCAGCTCCTCCTTTTCTTCCCCTTCCATTTTGCGTGGGGGGAGGGGGGAGCTTTCTCGTATAGGAGGAGGTCAGATGTGTGTATGAGCTACAGATCTTGCTCCTGGTCAAGGAAGAAGGTAATGATGGCCTTCATTTGTAGTTTACCTGGTGTAGGGCTCTATTATTGTATACCATTGATGATAATTTTTTACTGATGTTCTCTTTTGTGCCTTCTGGTTAAATCTGAGATTGTTTTGAAGTCGAGACGCTCCTCCCATGGTTGCCCTCGGTATTCATATTTCTGGAAGCTGGAGGAGGGTTGACTGATTCTCTGCCTTGGAATCGGAAGGCCTTTGCTGTGACAGAGGGGGAGAGACAATTTGACCTCGATGTCTTAAAACAAATTGAAAGAAAATTCCTATACATCCCCAAACTTCGAGAAATCGATTTCTTTTCAAGTGGAGTAATAGCTTATGCAAACCATTCGTCAATTTCTCTCTGTCAGGGAAAGTAAAATGTGCCTTTAGGACATTCACAGGCCTTGAAATTTTAGAACTACTTTTAAAAGGAGTCCTCTCTCTCACACCATTATTTATACTAGCATATTGGACTGCTAGTCAATAACAAATTTGAAAATTCAAATGTAAAATAAATATAAAGAGTATAGAGAATATAATAAGTGATCTGGTTTCGCTGCAATGTCAGATTTAAAAGAGCCTTAGATCTAATTGTAAAGAAGGAACTAATGGCATTAGTTCAGGCGGTTAAGAAGCTTAAAAGTTATTGAGTTTGGCTAGGTGGTTGGATTTAACACTGGATTCTGCTAGACAGCGAGATGGGGTCCTGCTAAGTTGGATTCAACAATATTTTTTAACTAAAAACATAAAATACAATGCGCTCTAGTGTTATAGTATTGTTTATAGTATAAATATTTTATGTTTATAATATGATTCATAATACAATGAGTTTATGTATATAGTTAATAGGACCTAACGCTATTAAATCTTGTTGGCATCAAGATTTAACGCTATTTAGTTTCTCTTGTTTATCTTCCTCTTACCCTAAAGAGGTAGTTCCTGAATCAATAAATTCTAAATTAAGGTTTGTGTTTCTTCTTTTATTGTTATTCTTCTACTTAATCGAATCAAAATGTAGTAAAGGATGCGAATTGGCTCTAGCATCGTGCTACATTTAGCAAGGAGCTAACCTTTCATTCATCATCGAAGTTATGCAACTAAACATCTTAAAATCAATAAATTTTGACACAATCCTCAACAATTCTCAAGTACCAAGCAAAGACAATCTCTAATCTTTCATCACGATTAAAATCCCTTTCCTAGCAAATGCATCAACAGTGAACTCCTTGGCCGCTTCTTCCTCTACAATATCAAGATTGAAGACACTCATGGAAAGGTTGCCGATACATACTATGCTAATTTGACCACGATTCTACCGTTGATATACTTTAATACCTACCATGAGGTTAATATACTAAATAATGAAGTGCTTAATTTAAGTGTTAATTGCTCGTGTAGG